AGCTCAGAAGCGGTCTGTTATTGTGGTGATGCTGGCCCGTTCATTACACGCAAATCTTCGAACTTGGGGGTAGCGTGCACCGAGGAAGCCCTGGCAGAGGGATAGCGTGCGCAGAAAGATCTCTCGCCTGGGGATCGCCTCAGAGGGATAGTGTGCTTTCCGGGGGTCGATGTTGCACGCTATCTTCCCAACGCCAACCGTACCCACACCTTCCCCCTTCTCGTCCGCCTCTTCTCATACTCACCCCCCTCCCCACGAAACGCCAGGACCCCCCCCTCCCTTCCACCCCCCCTTGCCTCTCCTCCTCTCCCCCCCCCCCCTCCCCCCCTCCCCTCCCCTCCCCTCCCCTCCCCTCCCCTCCCCTCCCCTCTTCTCCTCTCCCCTCCCCTCCTCTCCTCTCCTCTCCTCCCCGGTTGGGGCAGATCGGCGGAGAGGCGAGGGAACGCCGCGCGTGGCGGCGCGGCCGAGGACGGTCGAGAAGCGCTACAGCGACTTCCTCGCCCTCGACGAGAGGCTCAAGCAGGAGGGCTGTGGGCATCGGCGTCGTGGGGTGCGGCAGTCGGTGCGCTTGCGCCGTCTCTAGTGGTCCTTCACCTTCTCCCCCTCCCCCTCTCCCTCCTCCTCCGCCGCTTCCTCCTCCTCCTCCTCATCCATCCCTTTGCTTCTCAATTACCCCTCCCTGTCGCACCCCCAGGCGTGCCGGTTCGGGCGGGCTGGTGCAGCACTCCACAGCCTCTGCTCCACCGCACGCCCAGTATTCCGCAGCCCCCGTCTCCCACGTGACACCCAGTACTCCATCGCCTCCATTTCTGCAACACCCCAGTACTCCGCAGCCTCCGTCTTCAGGACGGCTTCCCAATGACCAAGAAGACTCCGCTTCCTCCGTCTCTTGTGTCAAAGACCCGAGCCAGCCCGCCGCCCGCCGCCGCTGCCCGCCCCACCCGCTTATCCAGCGCCACACCTACTATTCCACAGCCTCCGTTTCCAGCGCAACGCCAAGTACTCCACAGTCCCAACGCCCTGTACTCCACCGCCTCCGACTCCAACACACACCCCAGTACTCCACCGAAGACCCGAGCCCGCCCGCTTCCCGCCCCGCCCGCTCACCGCTCGCTTCCCCAACACCACACCCACTACTCCACAGCCTCCGTCTCCAACACAGTACCCAGTGCTGCACAGCCTCCGTCTGCATCACACACACACAGTCACGCCCCGATGCTCCACAGTCTCCGTCCCCCACGCAACACCCCTGTACTCCACTGCCTCCGTCTCCAGCGCACACCCCTGTACTCCACGGCCTCCGTCTCCACGACAGGTTCCTCAGGAGTTTGCATTAAAGACACGGGTCCGCCATTCGCCCGCCGCCGGCGCCCGCCCCGCCCGCCCCTCTCGCCGCTCCAACGCCTCACTCAGTACTCCACGGCCTCCATCTCCAACACAACATCAGGATTGTTCATGAGTTCTGGAGGGTATAGTTGAACGTAGGTAGACCTAATGATCTAGAAACTCGGCTGCCAGAGCCGCACGTCGCCGCGGCAACGCCGCTCCGCCACCGAAACGATGTTCGGCGAGACCCCGCGGCCGCCAGTTCGAACCTGGCTCGCACTCTCGCGGCACACTCACCTGGCGTTCGATTTGCCGGGCGAGATCTTGCCTCGCGCCAGGGTGCCCTGTTGCGCCCCGAGCCAGCAGCCCGCCAACTGCGGGCCCCGCGCGGGCCTCGCAGGACGAAGTCCGGCGGAGCGCCCCCGAGCAGTCGGAGGCGGACCGCGCTCACCAGGCGAGCCTCCCTGCGCACTGGCTTCGCCTGCTGCGGGCCCGCACGCCGTGCCGCGAGCCCCTTGCTTTCGAGGAAAAAACAGAGGAGGAGGAGGAGGAGGAGGAGGAGAAGGAGGAGGAGGAGGAGGAGGAGGAGGAGGAGGAGGAGGAGGAGGAGGAGGAGGCGGCCCAGAGGGGCGGCCCGGGGAAGGCCAGGGGCCAGGGGGGGCGAGCGACCAGGGCGGGCCCCGCGGCCCAGCCAGGGGGACGAGGCCGGAGAGACCCAGAGGGGGAGGAGGGACGACAGCGAGAACCCAGACCCCCTCGAGTCATGAAAAAATCACGACGGAAGGTTTTTCTATAGTTTCCGCCTCTGGAGGCCCTTGCCGGCCCTCGGGACCGTCGAAAAACAGCTCAGGATGAAAAACCGGTCCCGGCGAATAGGTCCGGACCTCTGGGGGTCGCGTCATGAAAAAATCAGGACGTCGGGGGTCTGGGAAGAGGGTCGGGGGCGGGGCCTGGGGGGGCCAGGGTGGGCTCCGCGCCCCAGAACTGAGGAGGCCTGGGAGGCCCAGCGGATTCTGCTTCCCGACCACAAAAGCAAGACTCTCGCGGCCGTGCCTGGTTGATATATATATATATATATATATATATATCTGGTTGATATATATATATATGTATGCATATAAACATATATATATATATATACACATATATATGTAAATGAATAAACATATCCTGCGGTGTGCTGTCTTCCAGCTGTCCAGTCGTCTCCGCTCCTCAGCAGCTGGATGCTGTCTGCTGACCGTGAGCCGGTTCGGAGGCTGGGAGGCCCAGGGGAGGCCCAGAGGGGAGGGCGAACGACAACGAACGTACGGAGGTCGGGGCTCCAGAGCTCGGCGGTGCAAGATCGTGACTCCTCCCCAACGCACCCCCCAGGCGTGCTGGTAGGCCGGGCCGATCGTTTCGCCCGAGATTTCCTCTCTACTCGTGTCCTGAAGGTTGGCGTTTGCATCAGTTTCGGGGATTGAGCACATGTCTTTTTCAATATGTGGCTCTCGCCTGAGCGCTGCGCAGATTGATTGTAAACGTTTCCAACCGTTTCACGGCACCGTAGGGTTGAAGTCCCAGGAGTGGTGGTTCTGGCACGGTTTCGGATTGTCAGGACGCAACAGTGACATTGACTCGCGGCGTTGAAGTCCCATCTTTCAATTGGGCCAGTCCCGCAATGCACATGAATTATTACAGGCAGTTCTGAAGAGAGAATTCGGAGGGAGGGCTCATTGCAACACCGTTCATGCATCTTGGCCTTGCACAGGTCCCCCCCCCTTCGAAGCCTTCCTCTCCCTCCTCCTCCTTTTCTGCGCTGCACTGGCGCCGATCAAGAGATCGCCGCGTTCTCATCGTGCTCCCCCTCCTCCTCCTCCTCCTCCTTTTCCCCTCCTCTCCAGCCCCCCCCTCCTCCTCTCCTTCTCGTCGTCGTCCTCCTCCTCCTCCTCCTCCTCTTCCTCCTCCTCCTCCTCTCCTTCTCGTCGTCGTCCTCCTCGTGCTCCTCCTTTCCTCCTCCTCTCCTTCGGCCCCCCCGACGGCGGCAGAGGACGGGGCGCTCACGACGGCCGACCTGCCGCCGAAGGCCAGCGGCCCGCGCGCGCTCTCGCGGCGGGAGCGTGGGCCGCCGGCCGGCGAGGCCGCGGGTCCGAGGCGGGGACGTCTACCCAGACCCCCTCGAGTCACGAGAAAATCACGACGGAAGGTTTTTCTATAGTCTCCGCCTCTGGGGGCCCTCACCGGCCCTCGGGACCGTCAAAAAACAGCTCGGGATGAAAAACCGATCCCGGCGAATAGGTCCGGACCTCTGGGGGTCGCGTCATGAAAAAATGATGACGTCGGTGGTCTGGGTATACGGAACGCCCCGCAGCTGTGGGCACAGCAGAGTCGGGTATGGCCTGGACCCCGGGTAAGGGGATCCGGTTGGTGGTGGGGCCCCGGAGCCTCTGAAGTGGCCAGGATCACTGAACCAGGTTCGCCATGGCTGGCGTCTTTTTGGGTGACGGCAGTTCCGGTCAGTGGAAGTGGGACGGAAGGGCGCCCCCGGTTATTTTTGAATATATTGGGGGGTATTTTCGGAGTTTTTTTTTTCGCCCAGAATCCCCCTGGAGAGGGACGCGCCCCACTTAACCCTGGGGTTCTGGGGGTCGGCCGTCGTTCCCTGGCGTCTTGTGGGCCCCCCATGCGGCCTCTTTCCAGCTGGCCCTGCGTGCGGGGGCCAGCCGCGGGAGCTTTGGGCTCCCGTGGCCTCCCGTGGCTGCTCGGCTCCGCAAACACCCGGCTGCAGCGTGCCGGGTGAGGTCGACTACGGTGGGGGCCCCCCTGCTTGCCTCCAGGGTGCCCTGGGTTTCTTGGGTTTCGATGCTTTTGCCATGGAGAGCGCGACGTTCCCAGACCAAAAATCAATGGACGTCCTGAGGTCTCGGGGTTGGGTTTCTTGTGGAAGGTTTCTTGTGGACTGGCCTCCACTGTAAGAGTGCGGGGGGCGGCGGGGGCGGCGGCAGTCTGCGAGGCTCTGAAAAAAACCCGCCGCAGGCGCCGCATTTTTGCAAATCATCTCACGAGCTCGCCCTCAAATCGTTGTACACTTGTGCGACCGCGCCCGCAAGTCACATCCGCTGCACGTCGGGTCCAGCCATGCCGCAGAAGCCTCAGCGGCGGCTCGTAACCTGGAGGGCTCACGTCCCGACGCCACGTGGGCTGCCAGCCCACTGACCCCAGAGGCGCTGCGTGTCAAGCAGTGGCGAAGCGTCCTGGCTCGCCTACAGTCCTACTAAAGAATGTTCGAAGAACCTTCTGTGGTCTGCACGAAGTTTTCTTAGAACATTTCTGGCTGGGACTGTCTTGTTCTAACACACCGGGTCTATGCTCTAAGAACAGTTTTTTGTTCCTGGAACATTTTGTTCTAAGAACATTCCGTGGTAGGACTTATAGGAATGCCGGGACGGTCGGTCCCTGCTCAAGCGTGATGTGATGGAAATGGGTCTGACTGTTAAAGTTTCTTGAGCTATCGGTGCGGGGTCAGTATACATGTCTCTGTCTGGTGAAGGTGCCCTACTTGGAAAAGTTGGTTGAATACGTGAGCTCTTGGACAGAAGTTAGTGTCGCAGTAAGGATATGGCCGAAGCTGGCCCCGCCAAAGGGAGTTTTGATAAGGGCCTGGGGCGGGACGCTTGGGGCCCAATCGTTCAAGA